AATAGAATAGAATAGAATAGAATAGAATAGAATAGAATAGAATAGAATAGAATAGAATAGAATTCTTTATTGGCTAAGTCTGATTGGACACACAAGGAATTTGTCTTGGTGCAAATGCTCTCAGTGGACATAAAAGAAAAGATACGTTCATCAAGAGTCAAGAATCATCAGGTACAACACTCAATAATAGTCATAGGGTATAATAAGCAATCAAGTCATACTAGGAAACAGTCAATAAAAACCATCAGGAAACAAGCAGCAAGGTTACAGTCATACAGTCATAAGTGGGAGGAGATGGATAAAAGGAAGGATGGGAGGATTAATAGTTATAGTGAGAGTAATGCAGACTTTGTAAAGAGTTGGACAGTGTTGAGGGAATTATTTATTTAGCAGAGTGATGGCATTCGGGGAAAAACTGTCCTTGTGTCTAGTTGTTGTGGTGTGCAGGGCTCTATAGCCTCATTTTGAGGGTAGGAGTTGAAACAGTTTATGTCCAGAATGTGAGGGGTCTGTAGAGATGTTTTTTCAAAACCTGAATATCAAAACCTAAAACTGAGGAATCAGCTTTGACTCAACCCTGACAAGACAGAGTGGGTTTGGGTTTTTGCCTCCCCCCCCCCAACACAAAGGCCCAGGTATTATGTCATCTATGACTCTGGACAGGGAGGAACTTCCCCAGTCTGAGCTGGTACACACTTTCCTTGCTCAAGGAGCCGTTGGCAGCTATAGCTATTGCACAATTTTGAGTAGTGTGCCAATTGTGCCCAATTGGAGCCTTTGCCCATGGTCACTCATGCCTTGGTCACTTTCTCTTTCAATTACTAAAATGTACTCTACATGGGGATGGCCTGGGAACCACAAGTGGTCCAGAAGGCGTTGGCACGTGCAATTGATTAGTACCCTTAGCTCAGGGGTGGGATTCTACCGGTTCACACCGGTTTGAGCAACCTGGATGTTAGGTTTTCATCTGGTTCACTGAACCAGTATTTCAACCAACTGGCTGGCCTGTCCTCCCCCACCCTCCCTAGGAGTCTCCATGCAATGCAGGTAAGTGCAGAGTCCATGCGGAGGCTCTGGGAGTTGGAATAATGGGCCTTCCAGAAGTCCGGAAATGGGCCTGTTTTCGGCTTCCAGAGGGCCTCCAGAGCCGGGGGAGCCCGTTTTTGACCTCCCAGTGGCCCGAGTGAAGCCTCCAGACCCTTGGGAAGATGAAAAATGCTCCCCTGGAAGTTCTGGTAGGTCACACCTACCATGACCATGCCCACCCAACAACCAGGCAGCGAACCAGTTGCTGGGATTTTTTAATCCCACCCCTGCCCTAGGTTTACCCATATTATACAATGAGCCACACCTGGTCCCACTTTTTTTCCGGATATAATTTAAGATGCTGTTTATTACCTTCTAAGACTGCATGGCACAGAGCCCTGAAATAAGGCCTTGGCTGCATCAACATTTCTCCCAGGAAGTTTCTAGAATATTGTGCAAGTTCTAAGGTGGCAGATGAACCTAGATGACCTTGTCAATTAAGGTCGACTTCTTTCTTCTCCTTTGAAGGTATGGTGGTATTGCCAAAGTGGAAGGCTGTAAAGCAGTGATAAATCCAAAAACATGTAAATATGAATTTTATCGGCTTGATGACCCATCGAAGCGATGTGATGTCTGACCTTTTCACGTGGAGGAGCTGGAATAAATCTCTTATGTATAAATGAAACTGAATAAATCTCTCACGATCAGCGTCTTAAACTTTTTCCATGCCTCTTTTTTTTAGTTCAATAACAATCAGGTTAAAGGACGAGGTGGGGCTTGCAATATAAGGCATGCATAGCTGGGAGATATTCTCTGCATCAGTTTGGCATTGTGTAACAAGCAAAACACTGCTTGAGCATTAATGTTGCTCCTCAAAAAGCCCATAGAGAGCAAGAAAGAATGGAAAGCATTAGAAGTGAGAATTCATTGTCAATTTTTCACCTCGACATTCTTCGAAGTCTGTCTGTCCTCTGGTGCTAAGTGAGCTAAGCCTAAATAAGTTTTTAATTTGAGTCTTAGGCAGGAATTTCATGTTCTCTGGGCTATGGTGGCCTTCGCTCTGGCCTCACTGAATTGCTTTGCATTAGAGATGCAGTGATGAACTCAGAAGATTAAGAATTGGGACTAAATAACTCCAGTGATGCAAACTTAAGAAAATGCTGGACCCACCACAAAATAAATTTCTAAATAGAAACAATCCTTGGCTCCCTGTGTTGAAAAATGTGCCTACCCTCCCTGTCCTATTGTTTCTTTTTTATTCGTATCCAGTCACTTTTCCTCAACCAATTTACCTCCCATGGTTATTGTTGTATGGAAAAGAGGCGGAGGAAGGAATATTAGATATATCTGCTGCCATATTTGTAAAAATAGCAGAGGTATGAAATAAATAAACAATATACATTAATACATAAATACTATTTGCTTTGCTTTTTATACTCTCTGCACCGGAACTAGACACAGCAAATCTCTATTTGGTAGTAAGTCATAAACAAGATTTAAAATGGACGAACTCTCAGAAATAGAAAACAAACTTCTCTTTAGATTCAGTTTGCAAAATCAAATAGAGAGAGAATCCTTAATCCTACTTTAAGCACCTGTGTCCCTCATAAATCTAATCTCCTAAGGAAACAAAACCAGGAACACTAAGTTCGGTGCTTTTCAGCAAGGATAAACCTGAAATATTAGCCTTCAGAGAGAACGAGCCATTCCACATTGGGGGAAAAGAACTATCAATCCTAATGTTATAAAAGTAAAAGAGAAGGTCTACAAAGATTTACTTTACATTTAAGTTTCCCTTTTGTTTTAAGAAAAGTATAAGAAATCAATGAAATAATCAAGGATACATTGAATGTAGCGGATTTGCAATACAGGCTGCTTTAGCTAAACTATAGGATACAGAAAGGGTGTGGAGTTCGAAAACCATTGACGAGTGATGTAAAATACAGAATTATTTATGAAAGAAGCCCTCCAGAAAATTGGGCAGGACCTGAAGGAAAAGGGCCAGACAAGAGAGCCAAATAGCAGTAGCAGTTAGACTTATGTATTTAGACTGCTAGATTTTCTAAAGCTCCTGTAGGCCAGACAAGGAATAATGGATGGAAAGTGAACAAGGAGAGATTCAACCTGGAAATAAGGAGAAACTTTCTGACAGTGAGACCAGTCAACCTATGGAACAGAAGTTGCCTTCAGAAGTTGTGGGTGCGCCATCACTTGAGTCTTTCAAGAGGAGACTGGACTGCCATTTGTCAGAAATGGTGTAAGGTCTCCCGCTTGGGCAGGGGGTTGGACTAGATGACCTACAAGGACCCTTCCAACTCTGATTATTTTGTTATCTGTTATCCCTGTGGCAGTAACTGCTGTTGAGCCAGGTGCCAACTATTCTATACCTGTGCGCATGATTTTTCTTGCTTAAGTGTAAAGCATTATTTGTTTGATTCTGAATTTCATTTGTTCGAAAGAGCCCACTGTTCAACTATCAAAATCTTCCTGGATGTTCAGCCTATCATCTAAAGCAGGGGTTGAACTCTGGGAATTGAAGTCCACAAGTCTTAAAGTTGCCAAGGTCTAAAGCACGGGTATCAAACTCACCACAACACGGTGCCATCCCATGGTTTTTTTTTTCTCCCTTTGCAGAGCTGGGGTGTGCGTGGCCTGCATGTGATGCGTTTGGCCCTCAGGCCACCATTTTGACACTCCTCATCTAAAGTGTTGGCTATTCCTGCCAGGTTGATGTCATCTACCCTGCTATCTAAATTGTTTCTGAGCTTTTGAAGAATTTGGGGTCTAAGACAGACCTCGGGGTACCCCACCGCATACTTCCCTCCATGTAGATGATGTTCCATTGAGGTCTATACATTTAGTATGGTTGGTCAGACAATTGTTCTGACCCAAACCTGGTTCCCAGACCGCAAACACAAGACAAAGGTACCAGCACAACCGTTTACTGTTTCATTTGAGAATTCTGTTTCCAACTAAGTAGCTGCTTCCAACTAATTAGCTCCGACAAGATGAAACTTCGATGAAACTAAGGCACGAGGATTCCTTCAGGACCCAAATACCGCTTTTCAAACGGAAAAGCTCACCCCGAAGAACTTTCTGGTCAAACAAGATGGCGGCGTCCAGCAAACTGACGGCCTGGTAGGAAATGTTCCACGGACCAGTACCGGTCCACGGCCCGGTGGTTGGGGACTCCTGCTCTATCCCATATCCCATAGTATTCTGATTCCTCCCTGCCTTTTAGTTCTATTGTAAGTTTGTCCCTCTTGGTACAATAGGGTATTGTTTGTACTGACATCTCTTTGGATGGTATGTTACCTAATTTCTAACCCTGCACAAAAAGTATCCTCGCTGCTCTTATTATATGCAATATGATGCATTGGGTTTGTTTGCTAAATTTCCCTTTAATTATTTCAGATAAGATTCTTAATGCTCTAATAAGTCTGACTCTGACTTTGAAATCCTTGGGAAATAGCGTAAGTCCCACTTTTGAATGTAAGAGAGCCAATACTCAAAATGGGTAGGGGGCATTTTGTGAGAGGGTGGGAAGTGGCTGCAGACCTGTCTATTTGACCTTCTCCCATTCTATGAATTTGGCCATTGTTTCATTCTTTTTTTTTAACAAGTTGTTCTGAAGCTGATGAAAACTTCCTCTTAACATTATCCCCCAAACAAATAGGAACTATTTGTAAAGGAACTGTTTACCTTCTGGCAATGGCTATTTTGGCACAACCATAGGCTTTTTTAAAAAAAAAGTGCGTAAGGAGTGTCTTGTGGTTGTTTCTTTTTCTTACAAAAGTTGCACGAGCAGATTCCTTGCTGATCTCGGAGAGAATAGTGCTACTCCTTGTCCTTCTTCCCTACCAAGAGTTTCCGTGGACTTTCCCAAAGCCATGATGGTAAGCAAAGATGGTTTATTTGCAGAAAGAACTCTCACTGACTTAAATGTACAAAGAGAATGGTGGAAGGAATAAGGAGTCCCTTGTGGGACCTTCCCTTTCTCACAGCTGAATCACCTCCACACGGTCAAGGCTGTGGGGAGAATAATAAGAGGATCAATCTGTACATATTTTTACTCTATTTGTCTGTCAAACATGTACAAGATAACAAGCATAAACAAGAATAAAGGGAATAAATACAGATAAATGGGGACAGTGAGACAAGGACGGTAGGCACGCTGGTGCACTTATGCAAGTCCCCTTTAAGGATCTCTTAGGAATGGGGTGAAGTCCACGGTAGACAGTTTGAGGTGGAAGCTGTGAGGGGTTGAGGCTGTAACCACGGAGTTGAGTAGGGCATTCCAGGCGTTGACCACTCTGTGGCTGAAGTCGTATTTTCTGCCATCGAGTTTGGAGCGGTTTACCTTGAGTTTGTATCGGTTGTTTGCCCGTGTGTTCTTGTGGTTGGAGCTGAAGAGCCGTTGACGGGCAAGACGTTGCAGCAGACAATTTTGTGAACCATGCTTACATGATTTAGATAAGATAAAGATAAAATAGAGCAAGAAGGGAAGATCAAATGCAACCAGGTATTTCTTTAGAAAAGTGAGATAAGAGAAGAATAACTATTTTGCAAACTACTTTGGAGGATGAACAAAAGGCTGAGATATTTGGGTATCCTGACGTGGGAGCAGCTGCCCCAGAGGAGGGAGGAATGTGTTCCAGGTTGACCCTGTTGTGCAACAGAGATCTCAATGCACACTTTCTCATGGTTGTAAACTTCACCTGGAGGGCTTTTCCCAACGTTCATGAGCATTATGAGCCTCTGTGGCGCAGTGGTTAGAGTGCAATACTGCAAGCTACTTCTGCAGCCAGCTGCCTACAATTTGGCAGTTCAAATCCCACCAGGCTCAAGGTTGACTCAGCCTTCCATCCTTCTGAGGTGGGTAAAATGAGGACCCAGATTGTTGGGGGACAAGAGGCTGACTCTGTAAACCGCTTAGAGAGGGCTGTAAAGCATTGTGAAGCAGTATTTAAGTCTTAAGTGCTATTGCTATTGTCCTTCCTTCCTTCCTTTCTTCCACCCTTCCTTCCTTCCTTCCTTCCTTTCTTCCATCCATCCTTCCTTCCTTCCTCCCTTCCTTTCATCCTTCCTTCCATCCATCCTTCCTTCCTTCCATCCATCCAGTATTGCAGGCTGACTCTGCCCACTGCCAACAGTTCGATCCTGACTGGCTCAAAGATTGACTCAGCCTCCCATCCTTCTGAGGTGCATAAAACGAGGACCCAGATTGTTGGGGGCAAGAAGCTGACTCTGTAAACCACTTAGAGAGGGCTGTAAAAGCACCAGGAAGTGGTATATAATAAGTCTAAGTGCTATTATCATATTACTGAAGAGGACAATAGAACGATTTTTGAACAGACCGTTTCTGGAAAAACCACCAAGTCCTCTGTTGACTCACTGTTTCTTTTCTTCCATTCTCAGAGAATCTTCATCTGTCTGAGCATCTTCTCTTTCATGTTGGCAACATGTCAAGAAGAATGTTTTTCGGATCCCCTAAAACCACAGCTTAAAGATGGTAAGGAAGCTCTTTATTCCTCACCTCACTGTATTGCCTGCAAACGTCTAGCAATGCCGATTGAAATGTTTCTGGCTTAGCTTCTACAATCCAGGTTTCTATCCAAGGTGGATAGAAATCCATCCATCCCAACTGGGCCAGAAAAACACCTTCTGGACCAATGCAGAACTTGTTTGATCATTGAGAGTCCTTACAAAGCT